GTGCTTAATTCCCATCCACCTAGCCATGGACTTACACCCGCTCTCCCTTGTGCTCACCCTCTCACCTCTGCTTCTCTTGCTGTTCCCTGCTCCCTCTCCTGAACCTGTCATCTCACCTGTGTCTACAGGCTCTTAACTGAATTCCCAAAGCGTGTGATTCTTACAAAAGTCAGGAGGTTGAGGCTGTTGGAGAAATAGTTAACTTCAAGTCAGTTCATGTTAGTGACGCTACTTCTCTGGCTGAAATTTAAGATCCCTGCAAAGGAAAAGAAGTGGCATAAAAAATATATCATACTCCTAATACCCAGAAGGGCTGTCTTAGTTAGGGTTTTCTATTGCTGTGAAGAGACACCATGACCATGGCAACTCTTATAAGGAAAATACTTGTATTAAGGCTGGGTGAGACAACCCATTATGGGGAATAGGTCCTCAAAAGCCAGCTCAAGTGTTAGGGACAGACCCTGATCCCACTGCTAGGAATCCCACAAATAGACCAAGTTACACAACTGTCATACTTGTGTAGAGGCCTAGGTAGGTCTCATGCAGGCTCCCTAGCAGTAGGTCCAAAGCCTGTGAGCAGGAACTTGAGCAGTGTTCCACTATCTATCAGCTACAAACTCTGCACCATGGCACCAGGGAAGCTATCATATGGTGCTGTCCTGTGGGTTTCCTAGCTCAGTGCCTCCAAGATAGTGCTTGCGCCATTAACATTTCATAATGATAAAAGTAGCTTGTCTTTTGGCCAGCCTGTTCATTAAATAGACTTTGTATTCATTTTCCATTAAAGCATCATCTCCACCAAGTTTAAAATAGAATTGGGAATTTGCTGTGTTTGAAGTATTTTGGTCTCATTAGCATAATTTATTGAGTTAGGAAACTAGGAAGCAACGAGAGGGGTCAGCCCACACAGTCTCACGTGTGGTGTCAGGCAAAGGCATCCAAGGGCATGAGGTCCTATAGTTGAGGACAAAAATGACTTAGAAGTCATGGCAGGAAGGAGCAAAGGCAAGCACCATCTCTTCCTTTTCCTTCTGTTGTTGTTCTCTATGGTAGGGGTCAAGCCTAGGCCCATGGGTGCTATACAAGGATACTACTTCCTCAGTCCAGCACCACTCCTTTCACAACTCTGTGGGAAGATCTCAGACTTCCTGGAGGCAACCTGGACTTGGGCTCCAACTCTGTGGCCCATGGACTGGGAATCTGGGTCAAACTAGACTCCGTTTCCTCCTCAATAAGGTGGAAGTATTAGTTTTGAGGCATAAGCACATCAAATGCAACAGCGTATATGGATAGAACTGAGCCAGCAAGACATTTGCTATATTCCAAATGGCTAATATACTGGTGGGATTTTTGAATTCTACATTCTCAATCTGATACACGGGATCTTAGGAAATGACTCATAATGTTTTCAAGGCAAAGGTCATCCCTGTATTCCCCTCCCTCATTTCTGCTAGAATGGAGTCAGGATGAAGATTTGGCTGAAGTGGATTCTTAGTGGGTTAAGTCATAATCCTGAGAGACAGATGCACACATCCCAACACTTGGAATTTGTGAATGAGTTTTATTGAAAAAAGGGCCTTTTCTGGTGCAATTAAACTAAGGCTCCTGGTTGAAATCATTCTGGGTTATTCAAGAGCCATATAATATAAAAGCAGGAGGGGTGTTCTCCTAACAGCAAAGTGTGGGGGTGGAAGGACAGATAGGGAGAAGGCAATGTAAAGACATAAACTGAGACTGGATGGATGGGGCTACAAGCCGAGGATTGCCAAGAATGGGCAGCAGGCACCAGCAGAAAGGAGGCAGAAACATGGAACAGACTCCCTCCAGGGCCTAGGAAGGGACAGTGGCTCTGCAAATACATTAAGATGGCGGGTGAGTTTCTAATATTTTAAGTGGTTGAGTTGGCAGTAACTCCTTGTAGCATTTCTGAGAAGTGCAGGATTCTGGGTGCGGGGGTTTAATGTGAAAGGCTTCTGAGCAGAATCCAAGCCCCAGTGTTAAAATCTTCCCACGGAAGACCTCAGCTTCCCTGGGCTCTCACCAAGTGCTTGCCCAGGGCTCTGGGGCATCTTGACTCCTTGGTCAAAGCTCTGCCTCTTGCTGTATTGCAGACCCTCAGGCACTGTCCTAGTTTCTTTTCTGTTACTCTCATAAACACCTCTGTCCAAAAGCAACTTAGGGTAAGAAATAGATTATTTCAGGTTATAGGTTCTAGTCAATAATTGAGGAAACTTGGGGCAGCAAAACCTTTAAGCAGAAACCATGGAGGAATGCTGCTCTCTGTTTCTCTCATTCATGCTTAGCTAGCTGGCTTTCTTACATAGGCCAGGATCACCTTGCCCAGGGAATGGTGTCACCTGCAGTGGGCTGGGTCCTTCTATATCAATTAACAATCAAGACAGTTGCAACAGACATGTTCACAGCACAATTTGAGCTGTGTAATTCCTTAACCAAGGCTGTCCTCTCAGATGAATCTAGAATGTGTCAAGTTAGTAAAGCTATCGGAACAGCCACCATCCTTCCTAGGTAAGTAGATCCCAACATACCATAGCTTTTTAGTTTTTCACTTGCCCAGGCTCAGGAGCTCTGTATCTCTAGGAAGGTCTGAAGATGACTCTCATGTTGATCCTGATTCCTGGAGCAGAGGACTGTCTTTGTAGTTCTATGCTTGTATTAGTGTCTCACTGGGAGTAAGTACTGTGTACATGCATGCACAATGAATAGATCTAGCAAAGATGGCTTGTGGGGACTTCTGGGGGAAATTCAGAGTAGATTATCTGCTGACTACCTCCTGCAGCGTCCTAAAGCCTCTATGACTCCAGCCACCCAGAGCTGCTGTGCCCCTCTGATCTTATGTAACTCTGACATCCACAAAATGAGCCTACCACATATCCATTTGATGGGGGATATCCTTCTGTATATACGTTTCTTTTATGGGTTTGATGAATAAATCATTGTCTGGCCAATGAGGCAGGAAGATAGGTGGGACTAGGATGAGTAGAATTCTGGGAAAGGTAGGCAGAGAGAGCCTGCCAAAGACAGTCACCATGTGGTCAGTCGACAAAGGAGTAGACTGACTCTGGTAAGCCAGACCATGTGGAAATACATAGATTAATAGAAATGGGTTAATAATCAAAACAGAGCTAGCCAGTAAGAAGCTCTAGTGATCAGCCAACAGTTTTATAATTAATATAAGTCTCTGTGTGTTCATTTGGGGCTGAAGCATCAGCAGGACCTGGCGGGACAAGAAACTTAAATCAACACCCATTTAACTAACATACCCATCAGTTCAATGCAAGGCCTATAGCAACTGGTACTTAACTAGGTCAGCTCTAGAGGTCAGCAAACTTATCATAGACCCTGATGGACAAATGTCACTCAAACAAAGGCTCTATGGGTGGATTCACAGCTCAGTGGCAAGTCCTCATCCAGTGGAAAGCCCTTGGCCTTCCTCCTATATAGTCTTGGTTTGTCCAATGTTTTAATCAATAATTTAGTAAAGTCAGAGAGGCAAGCCTTTCTGATTTGTGAGCAAACATATTTATTGGCAGACTCTGTATCTCAAAAACCACAAGATAATGGACCACAACAAACAAGGCAAGATCAATATGACAACCACCACTGGTTTCAGAAAGTAAGCCACATTGCCTGATGAAAAATCACAACTGGCTCACCTTATCTGCCTTGTGGGCCATGCTGAGTTGGTCTGAGTGACAGAGGCAGAGGTTCCCTGGTTTCAAAAGGACACATCTGAGTTGAAAAAACATTGTGTAGGGCCCCAAAACTTTGTACCAAAAACACATGTGCAATCTGTTCGAAGTTCTGTGTTAACTGCATGTTGAAATGGTATTCTGAATACATAAGGCTAAAAAACCAACCCAAACCAATAATAATAATAAGCCCCATGGGTAAAAGGCATGTTAGCAGCCCTTCATGACCACTGTTGTTTTATTTTCATCTCCCTGAATAAGTCACTTAAAAAGAATGATGCTTAGGTGCCATCTGTACGAGGTCAAGTCTGGACTGAACTTGATGGACAGTCTGGTATGTCCCTTCCTGGTAGCACAGAACTGTGGTTGCAATGTGGTTCATGGTTAACAAGAGGCATGTTCTCATTGGTGGGTGCCCAGGGAAAGGTCAGGTGATAGTTTAGTAGCCTTGTCACCCTGGCAGAGAGAAGAAAAGACTTGGGCCATGTCCAAGGAAAGATCTGTTTAAAAGCAGTGTGCAGGGTGGTGGAGGTGCATGGCAGGGTGAAGTTTTATGTTTTCAGAAAGGGGAAAAACAAATACTAAGGAAATGGTTACAGAGATCAGATTGATATACATTTCTAAGAATCAGAGGTATCCAGCAGAGGGTGGCCTGCTCTGGAGGAGGGACCTTTGTATTCTGGGAAAAACTGTAATTCCGGTGACCATCAGGGTGGCCAAGGCTGTACTCACTGGCTGGTTGATTTCATTTGATTTTTCTTCACTACTGTGTGTGTTTCCTTGAAGTCATATGGTTGATCAAAAAGAACAACCTTTCCTCACCAAGAAAGGTCACCTTTCTCCTTTGTTTCTTTGTGTGTCTATGTATCTATATGGTGTGTGTGTGTGTGTGTGTGTGTGTGTGTGTGTGTGTGTCCCCATGTATGAGGGGTGTACATGCCCATGTGGGGTGGGGTCAGGTGTGCATGCCCATGTGGGGAGGTGCTGTGCATGCCCATATGTGTGTGGGGGAGGTTTGCATGCCCATGTGTGTAGGGGAAGCTGTGTGTGTGTGTGTGTGTGTGTGTGTGTGTGTGTGTGTGTGTGTGTGTCTGTGTGTAGGGTTTGCATACCCATGTGTGTACATGTAGTGGCCAGAGTTTGATGTCAGTTATCTTCCCCCATCACTTTCTCCCTCATTTTCTAGTCAGAGTCTCTCATTGAACCTGGAACTCACCATTTCAACTCGACTGCCCCACAGCCCCCAGGATCTGTCTGGTTCAGCCCCATCCCACCCCTTCTTCCCCCAGCAGTGGGCTTTTCATATGGGATCCAATCTTCAGGTTTACCTAGCCAGCACTGTACCCACTGAGCCATGTCCTCAGGCCAGAAGGTCCATTCTTGATTAAATGGGTACGAATAGCATCATTCCTGGCTTTCAAACCTCATATTGAAGGAAACTCTTGGATGATGGCATGCTAGTTATTTAATTAGAAATATTTTGTGTCAGGTGACAAATGCCTAACTCAGATTAGTTTGCAAAGAGGAAATGTGCTCACACAGCAAACATAATGCACTATGTGTCTGGAGGACAGAGGTTGAGCATGTCTCAGCCACAGAAGTCAGAGGCACCCTCTTCATCTCTGGATTCTTCTTGCTCCATGCACAGCCCATGCTGTAAAGAACTCTTGGCTGACTTCATCCTGAATGGCAAAGCAGGCAAGAAAAGGCCTAGCATTTTTCCCAAGGAAGAGCTCCCACTGGCCCAGGCTGTGTGCATCCTGTGGTTATTCCTTGGACAAATCACCATGGCCAAGAAAATGGGGACCTCCACTGGCCAGACCTAGGTCAGTTTCTTATTATTTTGGTCCCGAGAAAGGGCTATGATTACCAGCCAAATCAGTACACTACATGGATCTGCAATGGTAGGATGGCTCCTGGGAGATATGACCATGGGCTTCTATTACAAGGCTCACTTAACCATTCACAGAGCATGCCCCCTTCTGTGCTCTCACCGACTCTCCCTAGAGCCTGTGACAGGATGAAGAGCACATCATTTACCTCTCTGGTGCTGCTCCTCCTTACAGAGGCAGATTGGTTGTACTTTAGCCAAGCCACGGACAAGCTCAACAGAGGGTCTTTGTCCCCCAATGCACAATGCCCGTTGTGGAACTCTGCAGATGTTTTTACTCAGTTCCTGAGGAAAGAAGCTCCCTCCTGAGTTTTCTGATAGCAAATTCCTGGGGAGGAACATCATACAAAAACTGAGTTAGTCACTAGACTCTGAGGGAGTGGCCCTCTCAAACAGGTGCCACCTTCTCTCCCATTTTTTTCCTGGCTCTTGGTCTTTCAGGAAAACCAGAGACACCATTAGGAAAATCAGACAGGTGCTGTTGGAAGGAGAATTGCAAGGCTACGTGTGGGGTGTATGTCAGCAATCTCCGTACTTGAGAGGCAGAAGCAGGGAGAGCCCAAGTAAGTCTAGTCTGGGCTACATAGCAAATGCCAAGCCAGGTTGGACAATATAGTGATGGGTGGCAGAAAGCTTTGCATGTGATCCCAGGCTCTTTCCACCTTGTTGCTCTGAGCCACCATTGCCCCAACACATCTTGAAGGCAGGACGGGTTGTGCATTGAAGGTTTTGTGGCTGGATTGGTGTCCCAGTCCCATCACTGGGAGCTTTGCCAAGGTTCAGACTCCATATCCTTCATTACTAGGAGACCTCAATGGGGTATAGAGATCCCAAAGTAGAATGACTTATGAAAATTACTAGTTTCTTCCTCTCACACACATATGTATCATCTTTGTCATCCTGATCTGACCCAAGGCTTTACAACATTCCAAACAAATATTCTGTGACCCAGTTTCCATGTGCATGCTTTAAAAAATATGCATGTGGTTTTTTGCCTGTATGTCTGAGTACCATGTGCACATGTGGTGCCCTCATAGATCAGAAGAAGGTGTCAAATTCCCAGAACTAGAGTTACAGATGGCTGTAAGCATTCATGTAGGCGCTGGGTCCTCTGGAAGAGCATTCTGTGTTCTTAACCACCTAGCCATCTCTCTAGCCCACATGTACTTACTTTTATAGTCATCTTCCTTATACATCACACCTTGGTATTAATATTTTCTGCTTAGAAAGATGTAATTTAGTGGCTTTGTATCTTAATTGGGGTTTCTATTATTGTGAAGATTCATCACGAACATGACAACTCTTATAAAGGAAAACATTTAATTGGACATGGCTTTTAGGTTCAGAGGTTTAGTCCATTATCATCATGGTGGGAAGCATGGTGGCATGCAGGAAGACATGGTGCTGAGGATGGAACTACATCTGGATGGGCAGAAAGCAGAAAGAGAGAGTGACACGGGGCCTGGCTTGAGCATTTGAAATCCCCAAACCCATCCCCAGTGACACACTTCCTCCAACAAGGCCAGACCGCCCAATAATTCCATCCTCTATGAGCCTATGAGGGCCATTTTTATTCAAACCACCACACCTAGTTTTTACATTTTTACTAATGTATATTCTAACAAAATTCAGAAAATGAAGACAATAAGAGACCTTGCTACCAATGTCTGTGTCTTCTTGGAATTGGAACTTGGAGAGAAGAATGACAAAAGCTGAGGAACTCTGCAAATCAAAATGGACATCTCCACCTGCATGCCAAGGTGGATATGTTGTGTTAGGGATGTTGTTAACAGAGCAGGACACCAGACATTTGGGGTAATTTCAGAGCCAGCCAAATACCTGGTGACACTAAATGTGACAGTTTTATCTGTAGGTCAACCATTCAATATTTATTGAGCCTGTACCTATTCCAGATAGGATGGATAAAAAAGAGAGCCTCATGGGAAATGACTTGTTGAAAAAAACAACATTCAAATCATGTACAACTAAAGCCTGGGCAGAGAGCAGTCATGGTGATGTAGCCATTGGTACCCACAGCTACTCTTTGAGAGTGCACTGGATACTGCACAGCAGGAGCAAAGAAGGATCAAAAGGGACTTCATAAATATATTTTAGTGACATATCAGGCCTCTGTTGATGGCACTGCCATCATGTTGAAGAGGGAGAAAATATGCTCAGACAAGAGAGGCCCTGGTGCAAAGCTGCCAGACTCCTCAGCAGCCTCAGGCTCCCAGGGCTGTTGGCCCTGGCTGTCTGTATTCTGAGAAAAGACATGACTGATGGGAAGCCTGGAGCCTCTTCCTTTACCTCAGATACCTTTTCCCTTCACAGAGGTAGGCTACCCTCCACTTGGTCAACCAATCTGGCTTAACCCTTTAGTATTCTACATGGAGCACTTCCATCCAACCATTGGTAGAGATGAGCTGATATTACTAGAGAAACAGGAATAGCTGCCTCTCTAGGGGAGGGAGCCAGTGATGGGTATGTGGAGTACTCAAGAGGTACTCCGTCCAGTTGGTTCTAGTCATGGCCTTCTGGCCTTCTCTTAAGTGTTCTGAACCTTTAGAGACAGTGTCTTAGTCATTGTTCTATTGCTGTGAAGAGACTGTGAGCAACGCAACTCTTACATGAGAGAAAACAATTCTCATTAAAACTGCCAGACTCCATTCCTTGGCTCCCATAGGTTTGTAGCTATATCTTAATGAGAAAAAAATATATTCAGTCCAACTTCAAAAGTCCCCGTAGTCTATCACAGTCTCCACTCTGTTTATAAGTCCAAATTCAAAGTTTCTTCTGAGACTCATGGTGTTACTCTGAACTGTAATCCCATGCAAACTCAAAATAAAAAAGATTACATATTACCAACATATAATGGCACAGAATATACATTGCCATTCCAAAAGGGAAGTAAGAGAACATAGTGAGAAAACACTGGACCAAAGCAAGACAAAACCAGCAGCACAAACTCCAAACTCTGCATCTCCACGTCTGCTGTCAAAGTGCTCTTCAGATCTCCAACTCCTTTTAGCTTTGTTGACTGCAATGAATTTGTTCCTTAGGCTGGTTCCACTCCCTGTTAGCAGTTCTCCACAGCAGGCATCCCACTGTTCTGGTATCTCCAACATCTTGGGGTTTCCAAGGCAATCCAGACTTCACCCCCACAGCTTCACTCAGTGGCATCTCCAGGCCTCCATCCAGAAACACCTCTGACACACACCTGGCCTCAGCTGCTTTTCTCAGCCATGGAGTGAGATTCCACACACTCTTCCTTGTATCCTTGACTCTAAAGCTGGAAGCAGGTGGTCAAAACTCCCAAGTTCTACTGCTTTATGTGCCTGGAACCTGGTTCCCTCCTTTAATTACATGTACACCAGTTTTCTGTTGTTGCTGTTTTCCTTCACTGCTTAAGCTTTTTTTGATTCCTTTTCTCAAGTTGGAAGCTTAGCTGGGAGGGCTCTCTGAAGTCTCCACTCCCCTTTGTTCCACTTAGCATCCGGCTTTTCTTTTTATCTTCTTGAGCACTGGAGTTAGCTCCATTACACTTCCTGGTGCTCCTTTTCTCCTTAAACTGTACATTTTGTATTTCTCTTTGTCTATCTTGGTCCTTTTTGTTGTAGGTCTGTATAAGAGTTACAACTGCCAGGTGGTGGTGGCACACACCTTTGATCCCAGCACTTGGGAGGCAGAGGCAAGTAGATCTCTGTTAGTCCAAGGCCAGCCTGATCTACAGAGTGAGTTCCAAGACAGGCTCCAAAGCTACACAGAGAAACCCTGTCTTGAGTTCCCCCCTTACCTCCTCTACCCCTCCACCCCCCCACGATAAAGAGTGACCACTAATAAGCATGGACACAGTCAACACTAGGCTGTCTTGAAATTTCCTCATCAGTGCATTAATCCAAAATTCTTCATTTCAGCCTCAGGCAGACTTTTAGGACAAGGGCAAAAAGCAGCCACATCCTTTGCCAAAATGTCACAAGAACCATCTCTAGCTCTAATACTCTTCCCCTCTGAAACTTCTTGAGCTGGGCCGTCATAATTTATATTGCTCTCAGCACCACTGTTTTCCCATGTGTTCAACTGCTTTTCTAGTCCAAAGTTCCAAAGTCTTACTACATATTCCTCCAACAAACAGGATGGCCAAGTCCATGACAACAATATACCACTCCCTGGTACCAACTTCTGTTTTAGTCACTGTTCCATTGCTGTGAACAGACAACGTGACCAATGCAACTCTTATAAGAGAAAACATTTAACTGGGGGCTGACTTACAGTTTAAGAAGCTTAGTCCATTATCATGGCAGGGAGCATGGTGGCAGGCAGGCATGGTTCTGGAGAAGTAGCTGAGAGCTATATCCTGATCCAAAGATGGGGGGGAGGAAGAGAGATTAAAAGCCTAGGATGGGCTTTTGAAACCTCAAAGCCCATCCCCCACCCCCATGACACACTTACTTCAACGAGATCAGACCCTGGGACTGTGCCTGGGAAGCACAGTTAGCCACAAGGCTAACAAGACCCTGAGGGCACTGACCTAATCCACTGATGGATTCAGACTTTGAATAAGCCATTGGAAGACGTGGAACTTCTGAAGGTAGAGCCTCTGCTACACCCCTTCCCACCCTAATGCTCTGTTTCATGGCTGCTATGGGGTGAGCAGCTTTCTCCTTCACTCTTCTGCCTCACCACAGGTCCAGAAGCATGGCATCGGGTGAGTATGGATGGAATCCTCTGAAACTAACAGCTTCTTGTGAACCAAAGCAAATCCTTCCTTTCTTATGTTACCTTTTTCAGGCATTTGGTCACAGTAACCAATGACTGACTAACACAGCCTTACTCTCTGGGAAATTTTCTTTTCAGCTTCTTTTCCTAATTCCAAGCCTTTCAGCCTTTTCTATAGAATCACTTCAAATTCCTGTCTGACCACAACTGTTTTGCAATACTGATGGCTCAGCTGCTGCTTCAGTGAACCACAAGATGGTTGGGTTGCATGTATCACAGGTCTTTTAGGGGATGCAGTGGCTGTGAGCTGGTTGCAGTGCCCCCACACATTGCCTTCGCCTCACTTTTCCAAGGAGCAAGCTCTCGATACTGATGACATTAGGGGCTTGTCCTGACCAGTCATTGCCTCAGTCACTATTTAGAGTATGAGTAGAAGGGAGTTGCAAGGGGCCTGTCAAATTCCCCCCAAGGGCTTAGGTGGCCTCTTTCCTAGCCTGGCCTTCTGTCTCCTGGGGCAGTTCAGTTTATATGTTCCATACTAACTGCAGAATCCCCCCACGGAGGTGACTGCCCAGAGCTTCCTCACTACTCCTATTCCATCCTTCTAGGACTTAAAGGACAAGTCCAATGCCTTTTAAATGTGATGTTTGGTGCTGAGAAAATGACTTCGTGAGAGGCTCTAGGCTTACTCTCCAGAGCTGAACAGTAAAGTTATGCCTTGTTAGATAAGAGAATTTTTTTTTGCATCTTCTCTGTAAGAACTACATACCCCAGTTCCTGAAAGCATTCCTCATATGACTTATTTTTGAGCTATTTTAGCACCCTGACCATTCTCCCTGGAATGTGGTCCCATTTGCCTATGTTCCTTTTAAGATGTAGCCCATAAGAGGAAGCTGTTTTCTAGATGTGGGCTAACGAGTTCCCAGCCAAGTGTGGGGAGGCTGCTCCCAGATTTCCAATTAAAGTTATTCACTCCTCATACTTTATTCTAAGCAGGGGCTGCAGCCCCCGGTGATATAACTGGTTAGCACACTGCCATCAGCAATGTGCTTGAGAGTGTGCATATTGCTAAAACTAAGTCACCCAAAGGCAGCCCAGGATAATCCCCCCCACACACACACACACACTCACAGACTGACCGACTGACTGACTAGCAAGGGAAGATACCCCAGAGGAACTGAGGAGTGCTGTTAGATAAGACAGGGGGACTGTGCACTTTTTAGTGTGTGTGTGTGTGTGTGTGTGCGTGTGTGTGTGTATGTGTTTGAGACAGGATCTTGAGTCTCCCAGGCTATCTCAAACTCACTATGTAGCAGAGTATGTTGGCTAGTTCTGTGTCAACTTGACACAAGCTAAAGTCATCTGAGAGAAGGGAGTCTCAATTAAGAAAATGCCTCCATAAGATCTGGCTGTAGGTAAGCCTGTAGGGCATTTTCTTAATTAGTGATTGATAGGAGAGGGCACAGCCCACTGTGGGTGGTACCATCCCTGGGCTGGTAGTATTGAGTGCTATAAAAAAGCAGGCTGAGCAAGTCATTAGGAGCAAGCCAGGAAGCAGCATTCTTCCATGGCCTTTGTATCAAGTCCTGCCTCCAGGTTCCTGCCCTTGAGTTCTTGTCCTGACTTCCTTCCATGATGGACTACAGTGTGGAAGTGTAAGCCCAATAAACCCTTTCCTCCCCAACCTGCTCTTTGGCCATGGTGTTTCCTCACAGCAATATTAACCCTGAATAAGACACAGAAGATGACCTTGAAACTCTGATCCCCTGCCTCTACCTCCCCAGTGCCTGATAGCAGGTATGTTCCACTAAACTTGGTTTATATGGGATTGAACCCAGGACTTTGTGTATGTTAGGCAAGCACTCTACCAACTGAGCAGTGTCCTCAGTGCCAAGGTTCTGTTTCTGCCACAGGACAAGGAGAGGGGCACAGGGGAGCAGGGACCAGTCCTACATGTTGCTTCCAGATGTAGGATCCAGGAGTCAGGGAAGGACAGGGTGCTGCCATGACAGTGTCTGCAGCAATAGAAGGGTTTGACAAAGTAAATTAAGGTTGCCACTGGAAGGAAATGGAAGTCATTTATTTCAGAGCTATCCCATGACCTCTGGAGAAACAAGGTACCTGTAAGATTTGGGACTTATCTATGACTGTCTGTCCCCAAGCCTGATTAACTTGATTCCATATTTTTGCTTCAGGTTGATTTTCAGTTTGGGTCCCTTGATTGACCGTGGGTGACAGTTTATCCTTTTACAATCCAGAGACTTGGCATAGGTGCCAGAGTTAGCATCTCCCTACCTTGTCTTCACAAAGGGACTTCAGAGGAAGTACCCATATGTGTACCACCCATATGCATGCCCTCTTACTCGTTTGACTGTCACTCTCTTTCTGACCTGCCATGTCTGCTACCCCAGTTCTCCAGCAGCTCTGGACCTCATGTCTGAGCTCCATAGACACTCTCCCACTCTCTAATGGCTCCCTCTGGCCAACCAGACACTCCCATGCTCGCCCTTTTGTTTGTACTACTGGCTCTTGATCACTTCTTCCTTCCTGGGAGTTCCAGAAACAGATACAGAGACCTTCAGCTTCTCCCACCCAGTTATGCAAGTCAGGTCACACTATGCATGGTTTTCAACCAAGGCCTCTCCCTCACTGCTATGCCCAGCTGGTTAGCACAGTTTGGCAGGCCTCCAAGATGCCTTTCCAGCCTGCTTCTCCTTTCCCTCTTGGGTCTTTTTTTTGGGGGGGGGGGCTTAGTTAGTGTAAAAGATCTTGAATGAACCTTCAATCTCCCACCTTCAGTCTCCTTGTTCCTTATTCCATCTCACTCTCTGCCTACATAATTAAGGGTATTTATCAGCATCTTTAAGCTATGTGTAACTATATACCATGCAGGCTTTCACCTGGCAGGGGAGCCCATTTTCCCCAGTCTTGTTTTCCCTCTACTACACTTTCCCTGTGCCACGGAGACTCACCAGTGCCCCCTGCACTGGTTGCCCTCTCTTCTCATACCTTTGTGTTAGTGTCTTCACTACTGGGATGCCTGGTCAAGAATACGGTGATCACTCACTGATCACACACAGTGAGTTAGGCTCTCTGCTGATAAACTCACAAATTTCGTTGGACCAGTTCTGTGAGTGAAACAGAAAAGATTGTTATCACTATTTTCTAGATTAAGAAGTTGAGCTTGGAGGTGACACTGCACTTGTGCCGGATAGTTTCATGTCAACTTGACACAAGCTAAAGTCATTTGAGAGAAGGGACCCTCACTTAAGAAAATGCTGTCATAAGATGAGGCTGTAGGCAAGCCTGTAGGGAATTTTCTTAATTAGTGATTGATGGGAGAGGGCCCAGGACATATGGGTGATGCCAACCCTAGGTTGGAGGTCCTGGGTTCTACAACAGGCTGAGCAAGCCACAAGGAGCAGTCCAGCAAGCAGCACTCTCCATGGCCTCTGCATCAGCTCCTGCCTCCAGGTTCCTACCTTGTTTGAGTCCCTGTATTGACTACCTTCAACAATGAACAGATATGGAAGTATAAGCCAAATAAGACCTTTCCTCCCCTACTTGCTAAGGTCATGGTGTTTCATCATAGCAATAGAAACCTTAACCAAGACAGCACTCTCGTCACTGGGGAGGCTAAGGCACAGGATTGCTGGAACCCAGGAGTTTGTCCCGCTGAGCTTTGCCAACTTGACACAGTAGAGAGCCGTCTGAAAAGGAAAGCCTCAACTGAAACTTACTCCTCAACTAAGGAGTTGCCTCGATCAGATTGGCCTGTGGCATATCTGGGGGCGGAATTGCCTAGATGGTGGAACGGGAGGCCCAGTCCACTGTGGTGGAACAGGAGAGCCCTCTGCACCATGGGCAGCATCATCCCTGAGATGTTTGTGAAAGCTAGCTAAGCCTGAGCCTGTGAATGAGCCAGTGAGTAGAGTTCCTCCATGGTTTCTGCTTCAAGTTCTTGCCCTGACTTCCCTCAAAGGTGAACTATGACCCAGAAATGTAAACCAAATAAATTATTTTCTCTTCTATGTTGCTTTTGGCCATTGCATTTCTTTTTTCTTTTAACCTTGTCTTTACTGAGCTATGCATTTTCCCCACTCCCTTTCCTCCTCCCCTCTTCCCTTCCACCCTCCCCCATGCCCCTCATGCTCCCAATTTACTCAGGAGATTTGTTCCCCCCCCCCCATTTCTAAGCTGACTCCTGTACGTCTCTCTTAGGGTCCTTTTTGTTGCCTAGGTTCTCTGGGTTTGTGGCCTGTATGCTGGTTGTCCTTTGTTTTATGTATAATATCCACTTATGAGTGAGTACATATTATATGTGTCTTTCTGGGTCTGGGTTACCTCACTCAGGATGGTTTTTATCCAGTTCCATCTATTTGCCTGCAAATGTCAAGATGTCATTGTTGTTGTTGTTGTTATTGTTTTGTTTTTGTTTTTGTTTTTTTACCACTGAGTAGTACTCCATTGTGTAAATGTACCACATTTTCTTTACCCATTCTTCAGCTGAACAACTGATTTGGAAATCAGTATGGTGGTTTCTCAGAAAAATGGGAATGAATCTACCACAAGACCCAATGGAATAACTTTTGGTCACAGTATTTCTTGAAGCAACAGAAAGGAAATGAGACTGTTCAAAGCCAGCCTGGCCAAAATAGAAACACCTTAAGGGAGGGGAGGAGGGAGGGCGGGAGGAAGGGGGTACATGAGGGTTTAAGACTTATTCCAGATTGCATGCTGACAACTGACAGAGCTGGGATGTGAATTCAGGGTTCTAATGAGATGCATTCTTATGTCCCTCCTCCTATGCATAAAATAAGCTGTCAGCTCTAACTCAGTGGCCACGTTCCTTTACATTCCAACCTTCCCTATACCCTTTTCATAAGCAGTTAACTCCATCCTCTGTGTGTCTGTAACTCACATGTCACTGTATTATATCCATCATCCCTCTGCTGCTCAAGACAGGAGGGCAATGCCGAACAGTCTCCCTGGGAGGGAGCCTTGCGTGGCCACTGCAATCCAGCCCAGGCTGTGACTGACTGAACAAAGAAAGGACAGCTAATCCCAAAGGGCTACTCCACAGATGTGGGATATAGATGTGCTGTGTGTATCTCTGTAAATTGAGAATGCCAGGATGATGGTGTGAGCCTGGA